ATCGACATTTTTCTCCGCCTTTAACTTTCAAAATGGCGGCCGAAAAACCTGCGTTGCTATAGACTGTAGCAACGAATGGACAGATTTCAATGAAACTTCGCTAAAGTCATTTTATCGACGCCCTTCAAATTTATTCATATGACATACTTCAACGAAAAGAAGCTGGAAAAAAAGTTACGAGGGATGTTAAAATTAAATTCCGAATAACTCGAAAAGTTTTTACTTTTTTGTAGTTATTGTAATGGTTTTTTAAAAGTTTATGAAATTTCCTAACAACAAAAAATAAATAGTTAAAATCGGACAATTAGGAGCAAAGATATGGTCTCTGGTTTGTTTTTATGTGTTCTACTCCAAATGTTATATCCTTGGTTTGGTTTTTAAATTTTAAATGTGTTACTGAAATAATGCTATGTTTTTTTAGCATATTACTAATGATTAAAGAAAAACAGTTTACTCCAATAATTGGAATCTCCTTTTGTTTTGCTTTTCTTTGTAACTCGGAAGGTAATGTTACTTTAGATGTATAATTGTTTGGAGGTAATAAACCGTTGTGAAATCATTTGCAGCGTTTTTTTTTTTTTGTTTCTTCATGAACATATGTATAGATATAAAAACTTTTCTGAAATAGGCAGGAAAGTCGTGTGAGTGGACACAACAGATGTTTTTTTTTTTTTATTCAAAGCACATTTAATGAAATTTCCTATCGTTTCATTTCCTGGACCATGGACGGAATATTCTCTTGGAAGGCTGCTCTTATGGCGTAAACGGAATTGTGTGGATGGACTAAAAACCCTTATTGCTAACAATCCAATCAATCATCGCAAGATAGATCACCCACTCCCCATTTCCAGACAGCGCTCCAACTACATTGATCCAATGGCTCTGTTTTTACAACCTTCCTCGTCAGAATTACCGAGCGTCCCGCAGTAAACTGGATGGACGGGCTAGCCTTCCTCTAGTCCATAAAAAAAATCTTCTTAGAAGTATATCACGTTTACGATGGTCCGGACTGTTATGTCCTGAGGTACATTCCGAGCGTATTGTCACCGTGAAGACAGCTCTAAAACTTTCTTTGTTTTTGTTTAAATAAATTATATGAGGTAAAGAGCTAAGTGCGTTAAGGAATGGAACACACGTTGAGATGTTTCAACGTTTGCAGACGTTCCGGCATAAGTTGTAGGAGTTCATTAGGGCTAAACAAAAATCTAGATTCAACCATAAAAGATATAATAAAGCTAGAATTATACGAATAAATATAATATAATGTAATATAACCAGCTAACTATTAATATTATATATGTATTGTGTAGCAATCATATAATCATAATACTTGGTAAGAGATAGTAGATGCATTTCCTACTATCGACGTAGGAATTTCAATACATAAATTTTTTTTTTATTCAATTATAATTAACTATTTATTTTTATATATATATTCAAGTAAAGTTTTTTTTTTTTATGAAATGAACTCATTGTATCTCTTTTTTGTTCTTCATTTCTCAAAGTGTATGTTTATGTTGTTCAACCCTTAAATATAATTTTGTTCATAGTTCAAGTGATTCGTTCATAGTTTTAATTGTTTTTTTCATAATTTTAAATGCTCTGTACATAGTTTTATCTGTATTGTATATAGCTTGTGCACCTAAGGTTTTCTTTACATTTTATTTTATTTCATCAATTGTATTTATTGTTTCAACGTTTAGGCCAGTAATATTCTATTATTTTGTACATTATTGTTATTCTGAAGGGACTTAGTCCCAGAATAAAGTTTTTTTTCGATCTATCTATCTATAATTATGAAATGAAATGAATAAAATAATTTTATTCTAGGACTACTGTCCCCTAAGAATAATAACAGAGTTACAAATTTATGGGTCTTAGTCTGACATAATAATAAAAATACAAACTAATTTATTGTTAATTAATATTTCAATTGTGCAATAGATTGAAATTAAACATTGTAAAGATGCAGATAATTTTTCATGTTAGCGGAAGTTTGAATTTGGGGTAGGTGGTGGAACAGGAGTTGTTTGAAGGAATTTGTTGATGAGGATTAACGCATGGAGGTAGGAAGTCAGTTCTATAATGAAGTAGCACGAATGAAGAAAGATTTACTGAAGGAGGAAGTTTTATAGGAGGGAATATATAAGTCTATAGGTTGAGACCTAGTATTGAGAGAGTGGATAGAGGAGCGTAGAGTAAGGAGTTCCAGGATGTAAGGAGGGTTTTTGGTTCTGAAGACTTGGAAAAGGAAAACACCAAGGAGGAATTGTCGTCGGGAAGTAGGATTAAGCCACTTCAACTCGGTGTACCAGAGTAAAATTCATGAGTCCCTTCAGTCTCATTTCTACTCTGGAAGATAGCATTCCATACACCAAACAGCCGTAGTTGAAGTGAGGAAATATAAGGGAGGTTACAAGGAGTTGTCTGTTTTTTCGGGTAATCTGGGAGATATGCTTATTCCAGGAGAGGTTCTGGTCAAAGGTTACTCCTAGGTTTTTGACTGTAGGGAAAAAATGGATGGGACGGTTATTGAGGTGAAGTAGAGGAAAGTAAGGAAGAGAGCTAATGAGATGTCTGGTATTATAGATACATTATATACACAATTATATACATAGAAATATTAAAAAATAAGGTGAACGCACCAGTTAAGGACAGAGAGCACAATAATGTACAGGTTGGACTTGTAAATGTAAATAATAAGCTTTCTTGTTGATTTAAAGGTTCCAATTTTTTCTAGATTGAAAAACTGGAACAAATATATTCCTGTTTGTTGAACCCTTTTCAAGATAAAATAAATAATACTCAACAGCAGTAAACGTTACTACGGATTTTTTTTGGGTGCATGGGTGTTTAGGGATATCAGACGTGTAAAAGGACTCGAGTGGAAGGCAATATTTTATAGAAAATAATAGAGAAGGCAATGTTGTATTTTCAAAGTCAAGGAAAACTATAGGACAGCATTTCTGTTTATATGATGTAAATTAATTTTTCTTATTCTCTCATATATCTAATAGGCTTATTCTACATTCTTATAAATATGTTTATTTTCTGACCTATCCTCCAGTTATATTCTTGAATTAAGAATTATTTTTCTTCTTTATTAGCTTCTGGAAATAAGTATATATATATATATATATATATATATATATATATATATATATATATATATATATATATATATATATATATATATATATATATATATAAATTTTCTATCATATGGATTTCTAGCCCCTAATCATCCAAATATAAATAACTGTAATTAGTATTTGACCATATGATTGATGAAGGAGGTAAAATGAAATCCTTGGATAAATTTTGTAAGGAGGCTTCGAGAAATGTTTAAAGAACTCGAAAGGAGTTACTATGAATAATATAAGATTTGTTTAGGAAGTGAATTGAGGATGTAAAGGTTTAAAGGATCAGGTATTTAAGGGACGCGAAAGAAGTGAAAGAGTTGAAAAAGAGGAACATTAAAAATTAATACTTAGCCTTGAGAGGTTAAGTAGTGACTTAGAGGTAAACACTCTTTGGAGCTGAAGAGAAAGGATGTATTGAAACAAGTTTAGAATGCTGCCTCAGCAAAGGAGTGCTGTGAGGCCACTAATACCACTTTGGAAAGAAATAATTTTTACAGCACCTGAAGATTTGTTCTAAAAATTAGAGGTGGTGTCACGAGTCTCCAAAGAAAGTCTCATCAATATCACACACTAGAAAGGATTGGTTATAGGTATGTAATTGTAGACTCAAAGATAGATTAAAAAAAAATAAAGAAAGCTATAGCCTAAAAAAAAAGTAATGACAAAAATCTCACAATGTCCTTTGAGTGGTTACAGAAATATAGAAAAACATTTTCAAATAAAACAATGCATGGTGTAATGCATGTTAACGTTATTCACGCTGTGCTAGAGGAAAAGGTAGTTAAAAAAAGAGGGATTTGAAAGAAGAAACACTAGATGACGTATGGCGGACAGATAGAGTTCCAGAGAAAGGTCGCCCTGAATAGAAAGGACTTGTCAAACGCACCAGTTTGATGGCGAGGGAAATAGAAGTCAGAAGGACAGGTTCAGATAAGACGGAATTAAATGGAAGATTTAAATCGCAGACTTAGAAATGAAGGAGTCGCCGGACAAAGACATCGTCCTCGCATGGGCTCCCTCACATTGTGGCATATCTGGGAACGAAGCTGCAGACAGAGCTGCGAACCTGGGAAGAAGAAAAACTAATGGAACCACAATGATCAACTTAACGACCACTGCTGACTGGAGATTGGAATACAAAAAAATTCTAAATGAAAAATGGCAATTCAAGTGGAACCAATCTACGAATAAATTGCAAGAAATTAAAAAAGATACCAAACCGTGGACGACCTCTTTCAGAAACAACAGAAAAGAAGAAACAATTTTGACTCGGCTTACAATTGGACATGCAGCCTTTATCCATGGCTACCTAATGAGAGGCCTGGAACCACCATTTTGTAAAACATGCAACATCACTTACACTGAAACACATTGAACAACTTGCAGACTATACTCTGACACCAGAACAAAACATAATATACCTTCCAACATATCTGAAGCACTTTCAGATGATGAAGAAGAGATACAAAAAGTATTTGAATTTATAAAAGACATTAAATTTGTGCACCTAATTTGAATACATCTAAAGCCGCTAATGACCCGATCGGATAGATGCGGAATGTAACAATAAATAAATAAATAGAAATCGCAGATTTGTAGGATGCAGAAGGCTCGATCAGATTACCTAAAGAAGGACACTAGAAAGTACTGACACCTGTAGGATGGATAAAGTCAATTTAACTCGTCTTAATAATGGGTTTTATCTTTATTCTTACTGATACTGCAAACAAATCTAATTGAGCAGTTCCTAAACCCTTTTCTTTTGTTGACATACGGTACGTTCACTGTGTGCTCAGTATCGCAAGACAATTCCATCTCTAGAAAATTAAATTGAAATTTGTATTTCTTGTCAATTACCTACGACGTCGAGATGGGCAGTTACTACTACAGTGTGGAAGGAGGGTGCATCAGCCGAAACTTCGCAGCTGTAGGATCCAGCCATGGAACCACTTACCTCCCTCAAGCTTACTTGAGTAGCGTTCGAATCTTCCTTCT